AAAACTCACAGGTAGTGACACCCAATCTAAGTAATAGACTACAAGCTTGGGGTCAAAAACTCCTTTAAATAATTTTCCTAGTTTTGGAAGTTTCCTTTTTATTTAGAGTATTATAGGGGTATTACACAATTTGCATTTGTACGTTTTAAGTTGATGTTATAAGTATGCCCCTTAACCAGAATATGTTGGTGGGACCCATGAGGTATGAATTTACCCCAGACCTTCTTCCTCTTTCTCCCTGCTTGATTTCCATTCTGTTTTACTACTATGTGTGCACTTCAATGTTAATCAACTATTCAAATTAGTATTGAGTACATGTGTTGTTTGTGTTTCCATTCTTGTGATACTTCGCTTAGAAGAATGGTCTCCAGTACCATCTATGTTGTTACAAAAGATACTAGATCTCCATTTCTTTATGGCTGAGTAGTACTCCATGGTGCGTATATACCACATTTTATAATCTATTCATGCATCAGTGGACCCTTGGGTTGTTTCCTTATCTTTGTAGTTGTAAATTGTACTGTTATAAAGTGCAAACGTCTTTCTTTCCTTGGGGTAAATGCCCAGTAGTGGGATTGCTGGATTGAAAGGTAGGTCTCCTTTTACTTCCTTGAGATACCTCCACACTACTGTTCATAGAGACTGTACTTGTTTGCATTCCCATCAATGAGTGTTTTCTTCTTTCCACTCTCCACAGCCGGTACCTGTTGCTTTGGGATTTTTTGATATGAGCCGTTTTCTCTGGAGTTAGGGGGTACTTCATTGTGGTGTTGATTTGTATTTCCCTAAAGATTAGAGATGTTGAGCATTTTTTGTGTGTGTATTTGTTGACCTTTAGACTATCTTCCTTTAAAAAGTTTCTGTTCATGTCTTTGCCCACTTTTTAATGGGTTTTGTTTGATTTTTTTCTTGCTAATTTACTTGAGTTCTTTGTAGGTTTCACTTACCAACCCTTTATCAGATATACAGCATTCAATTTTTTAGTTTTTTCCATTCTGTAGCTGGTCTGTTTTACTCTGTGTCCTTGGCTGTGAAGAAACTTTTTAATTTGATCAGGTCCCATTTGGTTATTTTTGTAGTTGCTGTGATTGTCATTGGGGTCTTCTTCATAAATTCTTTCCCTAGGCCTATTATCTATTAGAGTTTTTCCAGTACTTCTTCTAGAATTCTTTTATTTCCTGCCTTATTAATTTTTGTAGTGGTAAGAGGTATGGATCCTGATTCAATCTTTTACATGTGGCTATCTGGTTTTTCCAGCACCATTTATTAAATAGAGATTCTTTTCCCATGGGTGCCCTTGTCTGCTTTATCAAAGATCAGATGGAAGAATGAGGCTGGTTTCATCTATGGGTTCTTAGTTCTGATCCATAGGTCTGTGTCTCTGTTTTTGTGCCATTGCCATGCTATTTTGATCTACAACATTGTAGCTATAGCTTAAAGTCTGATAAAGTGATGGCACCCAATTTGTTCTTTTTTCATAAAGTTGTGTTGGCTGTTCAGTGTCTTTTCTGGTTCCATATGAAACATAGAACTGTTTTTTCTAGATCTGTGAAAAATGACTTTGGAATTGTAATGGGTATTGCAAATGGGTAATATATAGGTAGCATAGCCATTTTAACAATGTTGATACTGCCAGTCCCTGAGCATGATATGTTTTTCCATCTGTTTATAATCTGTGTGATTTCTTTCCTCAGTGTTTCAGAGTTCTCCCTATAGCGGTCTTTCATCTCCTTGGTTAAATATATTCCTAGTTATTTTATTTTCTTTGTTGCTACTGTGAAAGGTATTGAGTCTTTGATTCTCAGCTTGACTGTGGTCGACATACATGAAAGATACTGATTCGTATACATTAATGTTGAAACCTGAAACTTAGATAAATTTATTTATCAATTCCAGGAGTCTGTGGTTGAATCTTTCAGGTTTTCTAGGTATAAGATCATATTGTCCGCAAAGAGTGATAGTTTGATGTCTTCTTCCCTCCTCATTTGGACCCCTTTGATTTCCTTCTCTTGCCTGATTCCTCTGGGGAGGACTTCTAGCACTGTGGTGAATAGTGGGTAACCTTATCTGGGTTCACTTCTAAGCAGGAATGCTTTAAATTTTTCCCCATTCAATATGATGTTGGCTGTAGGTTTGCTGTATATGTCTTTTCTAATTTTGAAATATGTCCTATCTATACCAGTTTTGTTGCGTATTCTCATCATGATATGGTGCTAAATTTTGTCCAGTGCTTTTTCTGCACCTTTTTGCATCTATGTGGTGAAGCCAGTATTATCTTGATACCAAAGCCAAGAAAGGATACAACTTAACAACTAAAAAAAAAAAAAAAAAAGTAGAGACCAGTATCCCTTATGAATATAGATTCACACATTTTCAATAAAATCTTAGTAAACCCACAAAAGAGTAATTCACCTTGCCAAGTGGCCCACATCCCTGAGATATAAGGAAGGTCCTTCTTTTTTTTTTTTTAAGTCTTTCTCAGGTATTTTACTTTTTATGTATATAATATTCTTAGTAAGACTCCTCACACATCTGTATGGCACATATATAAATTTAGAGATTAAGGATTTTCATGGTTTTCAAGGAGTTCTGTACTTTTCTCAGCAATGAAGGAAAGAAAGTGCACCCTAGCTATGTGGCAGGAAGAAAATTTTATAAAAAGTCAAAGAATAAAGTATGCCTTCTTTTGCTCTCATTTATTTTCTATAATGAAGACATTACTGGTTTAAATTCATATGAATTATCTAGATTCATGTAAAATAGGTGTGTGGCAAAATTTGTTGTGTGGTTAGAAAAATAACTCTTAAAGAAAACTACTTTGTTTTTAATGTTTTCCAGTAAGCCAAAATTTGAAGTTAAATTCATTATGCTTTTCACTTTCCCCTTGGAATCTTGATTATACTAGGTTACTTGTATCTAAAAATGAGGTAAAATGGAGGTAAATTTTAATAGTTAAATACTGGGAGGTTTTCCATCATCCTAGTTGATGTATCATCTCTAAAGGATTTCAAAATGACTAATAACATTACTTATTGGAGATTGAATAGTGGAGAGACTCATTTTTAAACAGAGAAGAGAGACATAATAGAGCTCCTGTCTTCTTAATAGTAAAATACCTAAGCAAGTGAATTAATTTGCTTAAAAATTTAATCATTCTCTGGATGTTTAGCTTCTAGGTATATTGGGCTTCATTTTCAAAGCCAGAAATGGGAATTAAAAAGCACAATTGGCTTGGAGATTTGGCTTAAGTAAAGGAGATTTTAGGTTAGTTAAGACAAAGTTCACACTGTTTATTATTTATGGCTCTGAAACTATTCAGTTGATATTCATATGTTTATTAATTCATTTCACAAATATGTGTTGAGCGCCTTCTAATTGCCTGGTACTGAGTCTCTGCTGGTGGAAATAGAAGTATTATGGGACATTAGGGCTCATTACAGCTTAAGCTGTCTGTGAATTGATTCTTGGTTAGTATCTTTTGTTAGTCTGTAATTCATTTTCCTTTGTAATAACCACTTAAGTATTTGATTTTGTCCCTTTTCTACATATTTATCCAATCAACATTTTAATGTAAGCAATATGCATTTTTAAACACTGTGTTTAAACTCTACAAAACTAACTCTACAAAAGCTGTCACTCATAATTGTGAAATACTAAAATAATGATATTTCAGAACAAATTTTATCTACTCTGGTCATTTTCTCTGTTAACTGTACTTATTCTGTTTCATAATATTAAATCATCAGTAAAGATTTCTTGTTTAATTTCTTTCTCATAAGTGCACCTAAATTCTGAATCTTATTTTTGCATTATGCTTAAATGAAGTAATAAATATAAATCACCTGTTAATAGAGTTACTAGATTGTTCTCATCTTTGTTTCCTTATGTATACCGTATTTTTACGTGTTATTTGCAGGCCACGGTAACGTTTCAGTTTCAGTTTGGAAGTGTTAGTATGACCTAGCTTATAGAAAAGGCTTTGTGAGCATTTACATTCAATTCCTTAGAAATATTCTAATTTGAAGTGGTGTTACAGATCCTATAAATTCATTTCTTACATTATTTCCCTAAATGATGGTTATCTAGGCTTTTTGAGTTAGAGACTTTACAATTACCTGCAGGTTGGTTTATTTTTGGAGAGCATACTTACCGTTATTATCTCTCTACCTGACTATAGTAGGCTTTTTAAAACTATCATCTTATCCTGACTTGGCTGATTAATTTCAAACCTGGGAAAACTGATATTCTCCCCTGGAAAAATTCCATTTTATTTTTGAGCTCTGAAATAAAGAGGCAGAAATATTAATAGTGTTTTAGAGGCCATTCTTGCAATGTGGGAAGATTGGACTGTTAATTCTTTTTATTGGTTAATACAATTAAATATCAAATTAGCTTTTCCTTCCGCTGCCGTATCATACTTGTAGCTCACATTGATCTTGTACAGATTCGTGTTTTATGATTCTTCATTGTTTCTGTCTTTTTTATTTCATAGCCTTATGGACTCTTGCTTAGCTTATGTTAGAATTTTATATGTTTTCCAGTTGTAATTTTATCCTACTTGTTAATTTTATTCGGTTACAATATTTAAGACTTTTGTTTTTTCTTTTCTTTTTTTATCTAGGACATTAATGTCAACTTCATGTCATCTGCCTAGTTTATAAAAACATATAATGTTAATATGTTGTTATGTAGGTTGGATGATAATGGCAAAGAGGATAAAGAATAAAACTTTGTGGCATATTTAACACAATTTTAATATGCTGCTTTTTGAAATGATAACTCAAACTGTGGTTCAGATTATATATTTCTGAAGTTTTGTATTTATACTTAAATAATGATATTAAATAACATTATATACTTAGTAGGTTTTAATAAAAATTAAAAATTATATTTGCCTGCTTCATGAAAGTAAAATAGGAGTAGTTTCTTGAATGTTAAGAACTTACACTTTAAAATTTTTATAGTTTTGACTGTTAAAACTGCCTTTTTATTTTACACAGGATGATAGCAAACAGGCACAGTTCTTGGCTCTGGCTGTTGTTTACTTCATTTCTGTTCTGATGGTTTCCAAGTATCGTGACATATTAGAACCCCAGCGAGAAACTGTAAGAACTGGAAGCCAACCAGGTAGAAACATCAGACAAGAAATAAATTCGCCAACAAGTACAGGTACTTCATTATCTTTAATTATTTGAATTTTCACCATCACTTATCTCCTTTTTCACTGTTACATCCAGATTTAAACTGGACCTCTTCATAACTACCTCAAATATTTATGAATGGTTGGTATATAAAAGCTAATATTATGTAATTCCACAAAAATGTCTGAATGATATTTCTATAATTTTGTTATATTTTCATTTTATCAGTGCAGCTTTGTTTCTATGTTTCTCATTTATTGATAAAAATAATTATGTCATTATTTAATATGCAAGTAACTCATATACAGAGGATGCAAAAAATGTAGACACATTTTAAGAAAGGAAAAATCTGTTTTCAGTTTGTGATACTCAAGTCACAGTTGATTTCTGTAGTGACAAAAGTGCTCAATTAACTTGTACTCATCTCTTGTTTTCAGTGTATATTGACTGTTATGATGTTAATACAGATTTTTCCTTTCTTAAAATGTGTCTACATTTTTTGCATCCTCTGTATTATTAAATATATTTATTTTCTACTTTTTATAAACATGGAAATAAAAAGATGATAGAGTTGTTCAATACCAAGAATAAGCCAAAATATAAATCTTTATAGCCAAACTCAAAAGTAACATTTTTCTCTCTTTTTTGCTGTGTACAGTTATTTCAGTGTCTAAATATTCTATCAATGATTTATAATAAGTAAACATACACTCTAAATTTTACCCAAAGTGGCTAAGACTGAAACCGAGGACTTGTGGAAGATAAACGTCACAGACAACAGGGAAGCATCTTGGGCCGTGTTGCCTTTCTCATTTGCATAAGACACGTCGCAGGCGGTTTTGCATTATCATTTTGCCTACTCTGCTTGGACACCATCAACACATTTTCTGGCAACTAACATTTTAATAACATGGGACATCTTCTTCATTGCTTTTCCTGCCAGGATTTTAGATCAAGATTGTTTCTATGTTGTTCGTAGTGTAACCTTTATAACCTAATGGTTATTTCATATACCACTGAATTAATTTGCAGTTGAAATTTCTTCCCCTGAGTAAATACAGTACTCTATAAATAAAATGGATATTTTAAAAGTGAGTAGAAATCAGTGGTCAAACCTCTGCATCCTGTTTTCCATAAGCTTAACATGCCTCATTTACCTGTTATTGCTATTGTAGAGAAGTGGATTATGACTTAGCTATAGTATTTTGCTATTGCATGTTATACTTGCTTTTAACACATAAACATGAGATTATTTCATTATTGTCTATTTTCATTTTTAATTTTACTTTTCAAAGTACATATCACCCTACCATTCCAGTTCATACTGTTTTGTCATTTAAAACACTAAGACTTTATCATCTTAACTCTTTCTCTTCATTTTAATGTATTTATATCCATTCTACATGTACAAAATAAGGAATAGTATTGTGAACCTTGTAGTTCTGATTTTCTGTAGTTGTGTATTTGTATGCTTCTATATATGTTGCCAAAAATTATTCTATTTAACAATTATGTTGTTTCCTTTCTCTTAACATGTGACCTCTTTCCTTCCTTCCGAGATGCATTCTTTATTGCTAGTACTGTTTGCATGTTGCAATAATATAGAATTGTCATGGACCATGTTGCAGTTGTTACATGCTGGCTCAAATCTGATTCCATGATTTTCTCCACAGTTGTGGTCATACCATCTATCCCTCATCCAAGTTTGAACCATGGATTCCTTGCCAAGTTAATTCCTGAGCAGAGCTTTGCCCATTCATTTTACAAAGGTAATAATGACCTCATCTCCTGACCTGTTTGGGTATTCTTATTTCTGGAGCTGTTATAAAATAAATATTCATGATGAAATTGTTTACAAACAAGCATACACCTCAGGTTTCATGGAGATACATACGATAAGTTTATACTTATGCCTGGCTAGTGAGAGCATAAAATTACATTTGTAATTCATTACATTTTGTACCATCTGTAAATTAAGACTACCTAATTATGTGTATATTAATATGCACAGTGTTAGCACTACTAGAGATCACAGAAGAGTCATAACTTAGTTGTAAAACTAAATTCACCTAAAATGAAGGCTACTCTAGACTTATGAGGAAAAGCTTAAAACCTGCCTGAAAAACATTAAGCTGATGTGTAAATTATTTAACTTTTGGTCAGAACAAAATCTCAACACTCTCTTGAAGGATTGCAAAAAATACCTCACCAAAAAACATAAATGTTAAACATGAAATTAGTGATTGCAAAACAAAGGATTGTAATAGGCACAATTCTGTGATAGCCCCCAAATATTCCACTGTGCATACCTTGCAAAATTCTTAGGATCATAAATAAGATGGATTTTATGCCTGTGATTAAGTAATGTTATGTCACAGTTGCTTTTGTGAAAGGTGTTATCCAGGTGAACCTGACCTAATCACATGAGTTCTAAAAACAGAATGTTTTCTCAACTAGTTGCAGAATAGCAAGTCAGAGAGACTTGAAATTGTAAAAAAGATTTGACATTAAAGAGGGCCTTTATTGCTGAGACAGAAGTGACCGCGGCAGACCTGAGAACTCCCTGTAGGAGCTAAGAACACTCCCTGGCTGACAGCCAGCTAGAACATGGGGACCTGTGGTCTTACAACAGGGAACCAAATTTTACCAATAACCAAAATGAGTTTGGAAGAGGACCTTGAGCTCCAGATGATACACTAATTCCGTGTGTTTTTTAAGTAGCTAATAATATGGAGCAGCTTTTGGAATAAATAAAACTAGCTAGTACTTTTTGTTAAAAATTGATGAAGGCACACATATTATTTTTTATAAATGTGCAATCCTTAGATGACATGGTAAGATGAAAGAAAAAAATCTTTTCGTTTTTTCACAGTTTTATTGCTCATTTGGGGTGAGGGAAACTTCTCCTTTACCCTAGAAGGTCCAATGAAAGATCACCTCAGAATAAGGTAGATTAATAAGAAGAAGAGATCAGAGAGAATCACAATGTGATTACCCAACATTCCAGTGGTGTCCTGAAATTTATATACCGTGGTTTAGAGGGCAAGTGGAGATGAAGAATATAGGTAATTCAAGTTAGGGGTGGTGAGTGTTGACTAGAGAGGTTGATAGATACTAGGGAGAATGAAAGGATGGGGGAAAACAATTGATATTTCAGTGATTCTCTTTGGAAATTAAACTGAGAGATAGGAATTATATTTAATATGGTTTGGTCTAGATCTGGTTGCATTCTTGATCTCTCCTATGATACATTGAGATAACAGGAAGGGGAAAGGGGCAGTGCATTATTCTTTTTTGTTTTATTAAGAAAGGAGGAGGCCCCTTTCAAAGCCTTTTAATATCTAAGGGCCTGGAAGGAGGGAGGGCGTGGGCAGTCAAGGGATAGGGTTCACCTTTTCGGGGCAGGATACAAATGTACGAGGGTCCTTATGTAACAAAAGTGATCAGTGTAACCTGCTTCTGTGTACCCTCAATGAATCCCCAACAATTAAAAAAATACTCTTATTGAGGAGTCATATTTGGGGGTGAAATTTCCTCAGGTCCTTCACTGACAAAACAAATCTGTCTCTGAACTGTATAAACCAAAAAGAATTAGATTGTCATGAAACATCTGGAGACTGCTTTGTGTAGGAGGGTGTTCCAAAAGCTCAGCTATGGTAACTGGAAAATATTATCAGGACGTGAATGCAGTTTATCAAGAATGTCTTTCTACGAAAACTATTTTAGACAAACTGAATCATAGTGATCTTTGTGACATAATAAAAACTTTGAGGCTAGTATGGTAAATTGCTCTTATTTTTCTTATATGATAATGTGGCAGGTTAACATAACTATTATTTTGCATGCTGTGGTATAGTGGTTACTGAGGGGAAAATTTCTGTTACTGATGTCAGAGCTACAAGTTAAACCCTTGTAGCATTTCCACAGGGTAATAAGAAACCAGATTGATTCCACTTTTAAAATACAAATTGGGGCTGGCTTTTTGTCCAGACATCTAAAATATGAACTCAGTGCTTCCAAACAGGGGAGGATGTTTTTCATGGTAAACAAGATCCAAGAACAAAAAAAAAAAGGTTAGAATCATGGAGGTATATAATTTCACAATTTAATAATAATAAGCAAAGTATCTTGAGCTTTAGAAATAATCTGATTTTGTTTGTTCTTGAAAAGTTATCACCTTTCATTTTATGGGTTTGATAGAATGTCTTATGTTTTATTTTCTGGTAGTAGAAAGTCTACACGTAGGAAATTCATAGATCTGGAATCAATTTCTTTTATTGAAATACAATTTATATATTGTAACACTACAAAGAAATTTTAGAACTGCTTATTGATAAACATTGGTGATATATTTTGAAGCTACAATATTTCTAGCTTCAACTTGGATCAACTTTAAAATGGATATTCTGGGCTTTTTGAATTTCCATTCTAGCAGCATAACTGTCATCTTTGGCTGATCTTAGGCCCTGCCCAAGCAGCAAGTGCAGGGTAAGCGAGTGTTTTAAACCGTGGGAGCATTGCACACGTGCTCCAACACACAGAGCTTCTGGCAAAGGGTGGCAGATTCATTGGTTTAAGACAAATGTTAAGAAAATGTTTGTCCAATCATTAGCTGATCACGAGGTTATCTAAACCTAGATTACAGCATGCTACAGATGATAGAACACAGATTTTACAGATGTAATTCAGGAAAGCCAGTAAACAAACAGAATAACAATCTCCGTGGGAGGGGTCTGATTCCAGGATTGCCACAGTGTATTACTTACAATGTCTGTTTTTTTGGGTTTTGTTTTTTTTTTTTTTAGACAGTGTCATTATGTCACCCTATGGTAGAGTAATGTCTGATTTTTAATAAAAAAAAAAATTATGAGATAGGTAATAGGAAGTAATGGTCAATATACAGAGAAAAAAAGAACAGTTAATAAAACTGTCCCCTGAGGAGGCCCAGATAATGGACAGACACTTTAAACCAGCTGTTATACATGTGCTTAAATAATTAAAGAAAACCTTTCCTAAAGAATGAAAAACATCCAGATAGCAGATATCAATAAGGAACCAGATAGAAATTCTGGAGTGAAAAATCACAATAACTGAAATGAAAAATTTATTAGAAAGAAGTTCAAGAGTAGATTTGAACTGGCAGGAGAAATACTAAGTATACTTGGCGATAGATCAGTAATGAGGATCCTAGTCTAAAGAGTAGGAAACAAAAAAAGAATGAAGTAAACTGCTGAACAAACCTCGCAAACTTGGTAATTTAAGTGAATCAATGTACATATCCTAAGAGTCCGAGAGTAGAGGAGGGAAAAAGAAAGGGGTAGAATGAATATTTGAAGAAGTACTCTCCTGAAAAAACCCAAATTTAATAAAAATCGTTGCTATGCATATCTAATGAGCTCTGGGCATACCAGGTATGGTAAACTCAAAAGACAACACATCTAGACAGAGCAGAGTCAAAACGAATTGGAACGTTTTCCTGGCTCTTACTTGTATCTCACTATTACCATTTTGTCTATTGTAAGTATATCCTTTAGTAGTAATATTGAATTCCTTTATTGTTCATTTCAAAAAATTTCAGGGATGTAAGTGTTTCTTAGTTACGTAGAACTGAATCATGCTGATGTCAGGGCTTTCAGTATACCAGTCACCAGAATAGCATATATTGTACCCAGTGGGTAGATTTTTATACCTCAACTGCCCTCTCAACCTACCTACTTCTTAATTTCTAAGGGTTATTATACCTTTTTTTGACAATATCTATTCATCGTCTCAATTCCTGAAGTTGAAATCTTTTAATACATTTATTGTAGATAGCAAACAAAAAAGACCATATATAAATAGTTGCAAATAATTCCTCAAAGTATTGTAGCCTTTTTTGTGTATAATTGAATTTTAATAATGCTTTAGAAATCTGTTTATGCATGGTGTTTTCATCTTTGAAGTTAAGGTTAGTTTTGATTGAACTAAATTAATTTTGCATTTATATGGATTTAACATACACAAAATACACAAATAGTTATACATAGCTTTTATAATAATTTATATAGTAAATAGTAAATAACTAAATAGTTATACACAGCTTTTATAATAATTTAGTTTGTTTAACATTATTATTTGAAGGGCAAATATTTAATATGATTTTTAATGTTCTAACAAGTAGCTTTTTAAATGTTATTCCTTCTTTAGAGAATTTGGAAAATAACAGTTTTACTAATTTAATATGTAAAACATATTGAAACACTTTATAAATCACTGTAAAACAGGATTTTTGGAGGAAGGAATGTGATAAATAAGGTCACCATTAGACATCATGTCATTTGCTGAACTTAACCTCATATTTTTCCCAAAATATATTAGATGAACTCATTAGACTAAATGAAAAACAGTATGAAAAAGAAGCATCTGGCATCCAACTGCCTGTTTCTGACAGGGTTCAGATCACTCAGGCTAGCAGTGTTTCTGCTTTGTGTCCTGACATGGCCTGTTGCTACAGAGACTGATGAGAACTATTGAAAACTTACAAGCCTACTCTCATTAATATAATCTGGACAGATCATTTATATTTTCTCTGTGGTTCTTGCCTAACTTCCTATTAAAGTCACTGGGTTAAATCCTCAGAGCACTTTAATGCCACAAAGAAGTATTCTGGAAACATAAGTTATCTAAACTGAAGTTTTTGGTTAATCAACTGTGAACATAAAGATATTAATTAGATAATAAGAAATTAAAGTGAGATTTTTGACTATGGAACTTTTATTGTTGCTTTTATATAATTTTCTATTGGTGTCTATTTCTATGTAACATGACAGAGAGTGCTTTTATAAAACATTTATTTGAATAGAATTCATATTCAAATATCATAATAACTGCTTCCATTTTGAAGTCAGTTATCAGTCTCAGTAAAAATAAAATTTTTAGTACTGTGTAAATATTTTGATGAGCTATTTGATAATATTCTAATACTAAGTTTTTATAAACTTTTGTGATTTATAATTGAGAGGTCAACATTTGTGTTGGAGTTTCAAGTATATATGTAGTAAGTTATAGATTTTGAGGTCAATTGGGAGTCAATTAGTTGAGCAGAAGTGTAAAAAATTATATAGTTGACAAAAACCTATATATCTAGTAGCTAATGAACACCACATCAAAGTTTTTATTTTCTTAGATATTTTGTTTGCTAGTAAATGGTTATATTTCATTTTAATATAACTTGAAAACTTTAAGCTTTTTGTGTATCTATCAGTGTAAAACGTACCATAAATAGAGATATTTAGAAAATGTGTTAGTGTAAAGTAAAAGCTCTAGACTGAATCTATAAATTAGGGAAATTCAAGCTAAGTGCTAGACATGACTGCATGCCTTTTGCTAATTAAACTATAAGAAAAGGGAGCCTATGTGGGTAACTATGCAACTGTGCGTCAGAATTCTTATTTTGTTTCTGTTTTTACATTTTCTATTGCTATTAATTCTCCCTGATACTTTGCTGCAGTTGGTTTCTGTCCAAAAATATCCAGTCTATAGGCGCAAACGTGTTAAATTAAGTGGGTCTGTAATAGTAGAAATAACTGCCTCATCCATCTTACCTTCTCGTTCTGTATTTGTAGGTTGTTTTATCAACTTTCTTCAGTTTGAATAATTTGAATGTATGACTATTCTTCTTTTTACCTATACCTTCTTTTATAAATATCTCAGAGATTCTGCAAACTAAACTGAGTCAGACTTTAATTCAGTATTCTCTTGAACAAATCTCATTTCTTCCTTTCTCAATGGTGTATCACCAATCTTGTGTTTTCTTCTTATGCTAAGTATTTCAGGAATGTCTTGCCTCTTTCCTCTCCTTCATATTTCTAACGTTAGAAATTTAAATCTTAGTCATCTCTTAGAAGTTTTATTAAAAAATGTCAACCCTGGGGGTTTGGAGGGATCACTTCTGAGGTTTTTCTCATAGGGGTACAGGTGAATCTTTCTAAGAGTAGAATGTGAACGTTTTAAAGCAATAACTGAGAAAATGACATGAAGGCTGTGTTTACCAGTTTGATGGAAGTATTTCAGATTGCATGTGAAAACCCCACACTGTACCCCGGAAGTGCATTAATGTACATAGTTACCATTCAATAAAAAAAAATTTTAAAATGTCAACCTTTTGTCTTTATCTCTTAATTAGTCTTTCTCCCGTGTTTTGCTTAGTGTTACTAAGATTCTCAAAACTCTTATGTAGTCATTTTCATTTTTAATCTCAGGAACAATATACAATAAATCTACTCTATTTTTTTCGGGTTGGTTTTGATTGAATATAAGGGTTGTCGGAAAGTTCCTAGTCATTTATGTCTCTATTTACTTTCCAGACAAACCTTGTATTATTTTATCCCACAGATTATTCTTTTAAGTCTATCCACTTGGACCAAACTAACAGGTGAAACTGAAACCTATTTAATCAATATGATGAAAACTACAGTATAAGTATAATTGTGAAAAATGTGTATTTTTGTTCAGTATAAATGAATACTACAGTATAACTACAGTGTAACTACAATATAGCTGTGATTGTGAAAAATATATATTTTTGTTCAGTGTAAATGAATATCAGATATTGGGAAGATTGACTAAATGAAGGTGTTATTTATTCCTAAATGAATGTATATATTTAATATAATTTGAATCAAAAGGAAAAGGGCACTTGAAAGAAAAAGGGCATTTTCATTCTTTTGAAACTTGACAGAATTATTTTGAAGTTAATCTGGGAAAATTAATAAATTCATACCCTCAGTAAATTTGAATGTAATGCCATTAATTTAAATTCAAAAGAGTAACAAAACTATTTAATTGACAGGGCCCCAAAATTAAGCCTCTTACCAAAGAAATCCTTTCACATTATTTTTAATCCTTTAGAATGTATTTACAGAATTTTCAGCAAGTTACGATCCCACTCAACAAGATTGATATTGAAACATTTCTCTGTGTTTTTGCTGAGGATTTCACAAAGTGTGAAACCAAGATTATCCTGTTGGGCAATCTCCTGATTTCTTGTCCTAGTAATCTTTTAAAACAAAGAAACATACAAGTAACAAAACAAAATCTAAAAGAAGTTTTATAGAACTTACAGATATTAAAGTTTTGAAGAAATCTTAGAATAATTTAGTCTGCCTTTCTTTTACAAAGTGTAAACTTAAATAATACAAGTAGTTGATTAACATTTACTTAGGTGAGAACTGAAAATAATTTACATATAGTAGCTTACTTGGATATTATTTTCTTCAGAATGACTTAAAATTGAGGACGGTTATTCCTGATATTAAACTTGGATTAGCTAGATTAGATTTTTCAAGGTCATCATTTAGGATTTGGTAACATTGTAGGGAGAACTTCTTTATATTAACCTTTATATAATGAGACTCGATAGGCATTTAGGTTTTTTTTCATTTATTTTAATTAAGTTTAAGTGTACATTTCATGTTTATGGATGGATACATATATGTTTCTATGTTAATGTTCAAAAATTGCAATTTATATTTATTCACAAAGAATGAGCCTGATAATTCCAAAATAATTGGTCTTAAAAGCATATATAGGCTAAGTTCTTGAGGAGTTACTATTCTATTATTAAAGTATTTATCTTTTTGAACTAATTTGATATACTTTGCATTTTTCAAATTCTTCAGAATTTTATGTATTTGTAATTAAAATAATATCTTCAAATACTTCAAATATTTCGTATATTTCATTTTTAGTTATTGTCACAGAAGTTACAAAAATAACTATATTCTTAAGGAAATAATAGAGAAATATATGAATTTCTCTTGCATGATTGTTTGATAACCAACAGTGAAAAGATAAAAGAAGAACTTCATATAATTATTTATAAGCTGCTTTAAAAATTGCTAGGGGAACTATTTCTTGATCTGTTTAAAGCCATCAGTTCTGAAATGCCAGATGATTTAAGTTTATTGTGATGCTTACTGAACAAAATGACAGGTATATTGGAAGATATATTTTAACTGAGTTCTGTTACTGTGTGCCTCTATTTAGCAAATTGTTTTGTTTATAATAGGTTTCATTTTCATATGTGAGAACATTTTATTAATGTATACGAGATTTTCACTTGTGAAGTTTTTTTCTTTTAAGCCCATTTCTTTTATTACAGAAACACCTGCTGCTTTTCCAGACACTACAAAAGAAAAAGAGGCACCAACTCCTGGTGAAGATATTCAGCTAGAAAGTTCAATTCCTCATACAGATTCTGGAATTGGAGAGGAACAAGTGGCTAGCATCCTGAATGGGGCAGAGTTAGAGACCAGTGCAGGCCCTGATGCCATGAGTGAACTCTTATCCACTTTGTCATCAGAAGTGAAGAAATCCCAGGAGAGCCTAACTGAAAATCCCAGTGAAATGTTAAAGCCAGCACCATCCATATCTAGCATCAGTCAAACCAAAGGCATCAACGTCAAAGAAATACTGAAAAGTCTTGTGGCTGCCCCAGTGGAAATTGCAGAGTGTGGCCCTGAACCCATCCCGTACCCTGACCCAGCACTGAAGAGAGAGGCGCACGCTATTCTTCCTATGCAGTTTCACTCCTTTGATAGGTAGGTACTGGGTTTACTCACAGAGCTTTGTGGATAGCAGGGAATTGGGCTCCGATTAATTTTAAAATATTAGTAGTGTTTGCAAACTTTATATTAATTAATGTAGGTTCTTATTACAAAGACTAATGTAGTGATAGCTTAACCTGATTGATCACATAACAAGACATTTTAATAATACGTCTCAGAAAGGGACTTTCAATATGATATGGTGAATGACACTGTGAATTAAAAATATAGAAACCTGGATTCTAGTTATAACCCCTCTTCAAAGTGAAGTAATTTTTCTCTTTGGACTTAGTTGTTTCATGTGTAAATGTGTCATTGGCCACATGTCTCTGAAGTCTATTCTTCCTCTGAAATTCTGTTGTAATATTATAAAATACTATAAAAATTGTTTGAGATTACGTGGTTCATGTAATTGAGATTCAAATCTCAGTTTTAAGTGAACTAAGTGGGAAATGTACAAATATTTGTGATAATCTTCCTTATAGTATTTCCGGTATCTTTGTAAAAGTTGTATTTTGAGATGTATACTTAAGCAAATATTACTAAAAAGCATTTTGGCATTTTAGGTCTCTAAACTATTTATAACATGGCCCACATATCTACATTCAAATGTTACATTACAAAAGACTTTTTTTAGGAGTAACTAATTCTTTTTTCTGTTCCAGGATATACTCAAAAAAACTCAATATTTATTAGTTCACAGAAGCAGAAGAAGGTATTTTAGAACCAAACAATCTGTGCATCTAATATACCCTACTGTTTAAAAACATGTACAGTATTAGAAAAACATTTAGTTACTAATTAACAATAGTACTTATCTTTGACAATTAGGATTGATTCAAGATTATGTTCATATTTTAATCACATAAATTTAAAAATGTGTTGGTTTAGTATCTGAATTAAATTGTTATTAATATTTAAAATATTTTTTCATACCAGAAAATTAATATATAACATGACTGACAAGCATTATTTTTGAAAGATAAGATTAAATTAGGAAATTAAAAGTTTCTTAAACTAGAATGTCAAGAAAATGTAGCTAGAGTATACTATTCATTCTGTAATGCTTTCTCTAAAATAGCCAAACTGCTTTGTTTTAACTTGAAACAGTAATTTTCTGTGTTTAGGGGTAGAAGTGAGCAGTAAAAAATTTTAATCCTAGTGAATTACCCTTTTCAAACACAAACATGATTTAAACTTTGCCTATAAATTTTAGCCAGTATTTTATATTTCTTGAAAATTTGTTGTGGAAAATATAAATGGCGTTAGTTATCATGAGGTTTATAATGATGAGTAAAGTCAGTTTTATCTCCTATGAATTTAGAATAAGAAGAGATAAGATGGTCACAAATAATTGTCATGTAAGATAAAATATGTTATTTCAAAAGGTTTTAAGAAGTAAAAAACTAATGTGATTGTAAATATAAATGTAGGAAATTATTTTTCTTTTTTTAGTAATTTATATTCAGAAGTTCATTGATGCTGTGACTGCCCCTTAATGTCCCCTGTGATGTTTTACATTTATCTTCCTGATTTCACGTATTTGGTTTATGTTCCCAGGGTGTGCATGTGTGTTTGTGAATTTGTGTAAACATAACACATATAATCATATGTACTTGTGTATATCTGTAATGATAAAGACAGTACAATAATTTAGGGTCATTAAAATTTTGTGTCCTCTTTTATTTTAAATTATGTCTTTGAATTGTGTTAAAATATAAACCAGTATATAAAGAAAATTATTGTGTCTCCATGAGAATACAATGAAATAAAGTTTAAGTAAAATATTTTTGTTATAATTTGGATTGTCATTACAACTATTTTCATTAAAACTTAACAAAGCAGTCACCTGAGTATCAATATTTCTAGCTACTCAAAATTTATTATACTTTTGAAAGTACTGCTTTTTGAAAAATAGAACTTTGTATGTGTTCTTGGTAGCATTTGTATGAAATGCAATGGGAGTGGGATCATTATTCTAAATTGCATACGTAGAGATGAAATGGAAGAGCACAAAGCATATTTCAGTTCTTTTTAGGAAAAGGGTCTCCAGTGTAGTTAATATATGCAGTAGCTCAAGTACTATCAAATGTAAATGATGAGGTGATATTGATGAAAGGAGGGGATTGAGGTCTCAGGGGGCGCTGATGACGGATTGAACAGAAGCGGCCTTGCACTGCACGTAACTCAAGTCTGTCGTCTTCACTACTCAAAGCTATAATGGGAGGTGGCAGTCTGAAATGAGTTGCCACGGCAAAGAGTATTATTTTTGAAATGCTTTCACACAAATCACTAGGCCCTGCATACAACTTAGTTTCATGCTTTAATGTCATCAGGAGGCACAAATTGGTGTGTCTAATTGTTTGCCACCTGCCAGCAAAATGAGCTGCCAGCCAGCCAGACGGGTTTGATTGTCTGTCAGCCATTCAATAGATTGAGAGTGACAACATCAAAAATTTAACTTCAAACTCGGGAGCTTTGAGCAGCTTTTCAGAGACATCATCCCCACAAGTGCTTCTGGACCACTGCATTTTTCAATTATATTTTCAGTCTATTGCTACCATTTGCCTTATCTGTCTTAAGGTAGCTATAATTACTTTATGAGGTATATAAACATATTTCTGAAGCACCGAAGTCTGAAATCCAAGTTATGACATGTCTTTTAACATAAGATTGAATTCCTTGAAAATAGGATCTAAGATGACAGCGTTTAGCATGAAAGTCCTGAATGCTACCAGTTTCAAACACAGAATTATCGGGGATCTTACTCTACCAATGATACATTTTTCATTTTTATCTTTAGTTGAAAAATAGATTTAAACTCAGTTGCTCAATTCTGTGTAACTAAATCATATTCCTGATAATATTGTATAATCTCAATGGCTATTACCTATAATTTAACTTTTGTTAACCAGTTATTTATTGGCTCTCATGTAAACAAGCCAAAAACACATTCTTTAAACTTATTCTAGGTTATAAATTTAGAAATAACTTCCTAAAACAACTGATATAATTTGAATTCTTTTATGTTCTACATCAGAGTATTTCTCTCCACTGAGGATGGAGCATCAGTACATTTCAGTATTTTGAAATTTATATTATCATTTTCATTACGTAAGTTGCAGCACAAATTTTGGATACATTTAGACTTAAACCATTTTTCTTTTACTATTAAATCTTCTGTCAGATTATATGCAAAATACATAAATGTTTTTATCTGCATATATACCAAGTGCTGATCCTCTTTACTCCCTCCAATTATCTGTGCAGATTTAAGTATATATCTTTGATTACACTCAGTGATCCTAAACATATATACATAAATATACATATATTTATGAAGTATAAATATAGTACTGTTTACTATACTTAATTAACACTAGTACTGTTCCGTAGTGCAGAAACACTATATTTATAGAAGAACTATAATTAAGATGCTGTAACAGTTTTTCCGAAGTTTTTACTTGGAGACAGAATTATTTGTGACCAGAAAAGCTTAATGATTTTAGAATTTATAAATCAAGTTGCAAAGTTCTCAAAGAATACTATATTTTCTGATATATTTCTATATAGACCCGCGATTTATAAAATGTTCTATCTGAGCTGTTATTTCTGATGCGTTAGCAACTGTCTAGCTTTTAGTTTGGGGTAATGCTTATCTCTAAAAGCAGAGATTAAGCTTTATCTTACTTTTAAGCTAAAATCTTAATCACGTATATCTAAATTCTTTTTATTTTTTGAGAATTCGATATATATCTGTTATTGAATTCAGTTTTCATTTCCTAGTATTTCTAGATCCCATTAATTTTTTTGTTTCTATGTACAGTTTAGCCACTATTTTTTAAAAATTATTTTAACTCTGGACTATCACAGAAAACTTACATTTTGTTGCCTCTTTGACTAACAGAAGTCAGTCTTACATAATTTATCCATCATCCTTTTTGATTTTACATACCTGCTTTTGTTCAGATTACTGTGTGTGATATATTCTGGTAAAGTAGTATACAGTTTTTCCCTCTGATTTTTAATATCCTTGCTTCAAAGTGTTTTATGCTGTAAAAAGGAAAACCTCTGAAATAAAATCTACTTTGTAAATAATAGAAAACTAAAAAGGCCATTTAGGTAGGCTTTATATTATTAAAACTCAAGTATAAGCTTAGCATAGGTATTTCTCTCTAGTTTCATTAGTTTTTAAAATTGATTTCAGTGCTAAGGATAATAATTCAGGATAAATATTAAGGAAATGCTTTTAGTGGGGTCAGTGGGGTCCTTTCACATTGATTTCTTGAAATTTAGAATTAAGTAAGAATATGAAAAATTACAATTATTTCTAAAGACTTCATTTGCTTTTATTGCTTTCTATTTTTTAAAAAAAGTATTTTGATTTTATCCCAATTTCTCCACTGTTGTTGCCTATTTACAAAAACCGTTTGGTGAAGTGAATAAGGCACCTCTCTTTAATAGGCAGTTTAATGGAATACTCAGGTTTTTTTATACATCTTTTCTATTGGTATTCTCAGATCGTTTATAAAATAGGGAAGGAAGTAAACAGATTAGAGAAATAACCTTTCTGTCTCTCTGGGACCCAGTTTCCCAACCCTTGAATAATGGAATTAAAGCCACATACTCCTAAAAAATCCCATCAAGTTCTAAAATCTCATGATAAATGAAATGGCCTTATAAGTAGTCCCCCCGAACAATAAAACGGCTATTTTTGAGCTGGTTACAAGGTCCAAATCCCAGGAAGAAAAGACATTCTCCATTCCCAATGCAATCTTAGGTCCTCAGCATCACTCAAGTGGATTACCTCTATTATCTTTTAACCGGCCAGGTGTCCTCCCCTTAACCCAAATTTATTTTTGACATTTATGCCAGAGCCTTTTTTTTTAAGGGAAAACCTATGAAGATTCTGAAATAAGTCTTATTTACATAATAAAAGAGGAACTTTTTAGTTTTATCTTTCTTCATCCACTTAGTAGTATACATTTGCAATT